AATACCAGTCCATAATAAGGCTTCCTCTAGTGAAAAAGTGCATCTCCTGTTGTCTCTCACATCAAAATCCAGCCACATATTTGTTTAGAGCTGTTTAAACGCTGCTTGATCTGTGCAGATTTCTCTCCTGATTCACACCAGACCACTTTTTCACTGGAGGAAGCGTTATTATGGATTAATGCTGGATTTGTCTCAGCTTTTGTCTTCTCCAGATGTTAACTGATGGACTGGAGTGCTGTGGATTACTTGTGGATTATTGTGATGTTTTTATCAGACTCTCATTCTGACGGCACCCATTGACACCCATTGGTGAGACACTGATGCAATGCTGCATTTCTCTAAATCTGATGAAGAAACAAACTCATCCTAATCTCGGATAGCACAAGCATTATATAACATCAGAAGACTTGAATATAGTGCACGAGTCATATAGTCTACTATTATGATGCTGCAGAAAGAAAATGCCATGGAAACATCCTCATCATTCTGGACAGTGCAATGCATCATACTATGAACTTGAATGCATTACACATCCTACACACTGTACAGTTTCTATTAAAGCAAGGTTTTTTTCCCCAGTTGTTCTCTTTAAGCTCACGTAGATGTGGTCGTTCACATTCTCTCAGGAGCAGATGGAGCAGGCGAGCAGACATGACCTCAGGGGTCACCGCACCAGCAGGACGACAAATGAGGACATCTGGAGCTAAAACTACAGAACAGCTTCATAGAGACCTCACACTAGACTTTACACTTGCTGAAGAACATCAACAGCAAACCTCACCACCATGATATTCTGGCTGGCTGTCAAGACACAAATAACTTTGTATTTGCCCTGAATAAACAAGACTTAAAAAACATCAAAGCAAGAGTTATTTACTGTAAAGAAAAATACTTTTATATACATCTTATGAATTCAGAGTCACATGGTCCTTCAGAAATCATTCTAATATGCTGATTTGCTGCTCAAGAAACATTTCTGATTATTATCAATGCTGAAAACAGTTGTGCTGCACAATATTTTTGTGGAAACCGTAATACACTACCATTCAAAACTTTTGGGTAAATGAGATTTAAAAAAGAAAAAGAACGTCACACTTTTGTTCATCAAGGATGCATTAAATTGATAAAAAGTGGCAGTGAAGACATTTATAATTTCAGATAAACGCTGTTCTTTTGATCTTTCTATTCATCTGTGAATCCTGAAAAATAAAATGTATCACAGTTTCCACAAAAATATTGTGCAGCACAACTGTTTCCAACATTGATAATAATCAGAAATGTTTCTCGAGCAGCAAATCAGCATATTAGAATGATTTCTGAAGATCATGTGACACTGAAGACTGGAGTAATGATGCTGAAAATACAGCTGCGCATCACAGAAATACATTACAGTTTAACAGATATTCACATAGAAAACAGCTGTTTTAAATTAAAATAATATTTCACAATTTTACTGTATTTCTTCAAAGAGACATGAAAACATTTTTAAAAATCTTAACCAATTCAAACTTTTGACCTGTTTTTTTTTTTTATAATAAAAAAAATTCTAAAATAGTTTTAAAAGTAATTTTACACACTTACATGAATTAGTTAAATGTTCATTAATTCAAATGTATGAACACGAGGGACACAAAGTACCTGTAACACAATTCAGATTCTAGCCTGACTGATATGAATGTTTCTTTATTCGTCTCCGAAAAAGTATTTAAGACACAAAGCAGAGTCAATGATTATATCAACGCCAAAGCAAAATGTAGATCTGAATTAAAAAAAAAAAGCATCAGACTGCAGGAGTTTCTCACAGCGAGCCGAATAACGCTGTATTAGAGCGACACCTTGTGGTGAAACAACCACAGAAACACTTTAGCTATTAAAAACAATGAGTAAAGATGAATATCGTGTTCTCTTAAAATGTTTATTATCGTTAGATTCATGTTGGGACAATGAATACGAGTAATAGTTCATCTTTTCCAGTGTACACCAGATCATTACACATACAAACAGAAGATATGAACACAAATTAGCAAGTGTTTGTCTGTGAACATCTCAAAGCAAGAGCCATTCGCTCACACAATCTGTCGCTGTAATTACGTATTAGGGTCCAAAAGCGTCACCCGCAACACTCGGCTCTTCAGACTGTGTGCTGCTGGTCTCTTGATATTCCTACTGAAAAGGAACTAGATTGTGTTCAGAAGATCCGAGGAGTCAAAGCTTACAGTCACACGATTCGCTTTAAAGAGGTCACTTTTCTTTTTCGTCTCTCTCAACTCGGAGAACAAGGGCAGATTAGGCTCTAAGAGAACCAAAAATTCAGTTAAAATTATCATTCTGTCATCATTTACTCACCTTCACGTCATTCCAAACCGCTGTGAAATGCGAAAGGAGACGTTTAGCAAAATGTTAAATTAAATGGTTTGCAATGACACGAGTGCAAGTGACAGAATGTGCATTTTTGCATGAATTATTCCATTAATAGGAACAGTTCACGCAAAAATGAAATGTGCTGAAAATGTGCTCATCCTCAGATCATCTGAGATTAGGATGAGTTTGTTTTTTCATCAGATTTGTAGAAATGTAGCACTGCATCAGTGTCTCAGCAATGGATGCTCTGCAGTGAATGGGTGCCGTCAGAATGAGAGAATGAGAAACATCACAATAATCCACACGTGCTTGATCTGTGCAGATTTCTCTCCTGATTCACACCAGAAAACCTTTTCACTGGAGGAAGCGTTATTATGGATTATGGACTCAATGTATTTGAGTTAAAAACGTCTTGATGATAGATGTGTTTCAGCTTTTGTTTTCTCCAGATGTTATCTGATGGTCTGGAGTGCTGTGGATTATTGTGATGTTTTTATCAGCTGTTTGGACTCTCATTCTGACGGCACCCATTCACATCCGTTGCTGATGCAATGCTACATTTCTCCAAATCTGATGAAGAAACAAACTCATCCTGATCTCGGATTGCCTGAGGGTGAGCACATTTTCGGCTAATTAATTTCTGCATTAATTACTCCTTTAAATCCGCACTTTCATGAGATTGAGCATTTCCTCCCAGCTCCGTAAATATAATAACTTTCAGTCAATGGCACCAGATTCACTAAACGCTACTGTGTGTTTGATTGTATAATCTGTTAGTAAAAAAATACAGTTTTACAAAAATGAAAGACAAAAGAGAAAGCAAAAGGCTAAACAAGTGTCTCTTGGTAATTGGCAGAGCAGCGCAGGTTTGGTCCGTAGCATGAAAATACGGGAAATTTCATGATGTTCCCCAACTTATACGTGGTCCTGATTGGTACGTCATTGGAACACATTTGGCCTCGTTGCTTTGACTCCACAGCGACGCGAAACGCAGACAATGACGAGCATTTCATTCTCTATTTTACAATTCCTGCGGCAGATCTTCCGAGCGTCTTCTGGGAAAAAAAAGACAACGATGAAGTGCGGCGCCACTGGAATCCAATCCTGCTAAAACATCGGAGTCTGTAGGCGTCCAAAACGGGCTCATCATTAGTAAATCTCTATCAATACTAGTCTCTGGCGGGTTGGTTTAAGTGTGTTAAGCCGTCTGGCTCTTGTCAGTTCAGTGGCGTTTCGTCGATTGGCTCTCTAAAGGTGTGTGTGTGTGTATATACATGAGTCCGGTCCATTAGCAGCATTTCTTCTTGCGTTTGCTGCTCTTACTCAGTTTGACGACTTCGCTCTGCTGCTGCTGTTTGGCCACAGACTCTTTCCGAGCCTTCAGGACGAGCTCAGTGATGCAGTTGAACATCTGATGCACAGACAGACACAATAACACATCAGTGAGACACAATGCATTCCTGAACATTAGATGTTTGCTTCAAATTACATGACAAAGGGCACATACCGTACACTTTTGTAGTATACAGTGTTATTTTAGTATCACTGAGATACTATTATAGTTTATTCATATTTTTAATTTATTTGTTTTTCAACTTTCCATTTTAGTTTTAATTTTAGTTAAAGGTTTATTAATTTTGTTATGTTTTTGCCATTTTCATATATTAATATTTTGAATTAATTTTGACTTTTCTACTTTGTTTTAATTTTAAAGTTTTATTAATTTTGTTATGCTTTCATTTTGTTATGTTATCATTTCTAGCTTTTTTTTATTAATTTTTTGGTTTTGTTAGGTTTTAGCTTTACTTGTTTTAATACATCAAGTGAAACTTTTAAATGTGTCTATATAGTTTTTATTAATTTTTAGTTTTTAATTAATGTCTTATAATTTATATATATATATATATATA